GCCAAATAGCCAGGGTTCCTAGGTTAAGTCTCAACCGCTAGTTCAATTCTACTATACACATAATTATTCGGTAAAAGTTCACGTTAGGCTGGGAATAGATCAACACCCAATAACGTAGAACGGTCCTAAGAAGAGGATGGAGGGGGAAACGGACCCCACACTTAGCGATTAACAGTAGAGAGAAGATAATGGTGTTCGTATCAGCCCTCTCCATATCAACTACGGTGTCTGGAACAAGTGATAGTTAGACGTCGTCTGGGATTGAAAAATGACAATGTTGTGACACGCTCCTCAGAGTGGATAGCTTTCAAATGTTTTGCCATTAACAACGGAATAAAAACAAAATGTGTACTAAATAAGACACAGGGACTAGAATGAGCGCAGAGGAAGAGAAGAGGGAACTTATAGGTTAAAGAAGAAGATGAACAGTGGGAAGCGAAATCAAAATTGCAGAAGTCTTGAAGAAGAAATGGTGATGTGAAGAATACCAAAGGAAGGAGCGAAGAGCCTTTCGATTCAAAGCATACAGAGTGATAGTTTTCAAATCCCATTAAATGAAGGTCAGATTCGATGGGGCGGGAAGTTATAATGATTTCACTTCGCGTCGGTTCTGATGAATAGCACTAAAAGGAGCGCATCTGTTGTATTTCCAACTTTCGAGGGTTTTCTGCTCTAAATAGCCGAGTAACGTGCACTATTTCAACCAAACATGATGATCAGAAGGATCCAATTCAGATGCTTGGTGGGCAATTGTGGGGGAGACCAAAATTGAATGAGCCGTAGACAAGTCGGCTTAAACTAGGCTTCACCCTTAAGTCGAGCTGAGAACATTAAGAAGAGGGCCGAATACATGACGGCCTATGACAGTTGTTTGAACGCCCTGGTCGAGAATGACCCAGTTCAAGGGCCGAGTTGTCCAGGTAACTTATACGACATATAGGGGGGCCCAAGTGTGAGGAAGGAATGTCCTGAATACGGATGTGGGCCGCCAAAAAACAATATAAAAGAAGGAGCCTCATCTGAAGTAAAGGTATGTGAGATAATAGGAAGTAACTCGTAAGAAAAACAAACATTAAAGCAAAAGACTAAGTTCGGCACCCCCGACCGGAGCGTTTGTTCCTCTTTCAGGTATCATTTCAAGGATCAGGAAGGTCTGTCTTGATCAGAGAGTATTTCCAAACTCCTTTCACCATAATTATTAATTTATTAAAATTAGAATCTATTTACATTTTTTTAATAGAAAATCATTAATAATATATGTCACGCCCCACTTTTTATTACTCGAAACCATTACCAAATTTATTAATTTAATTCAATTTCAGAGATAACATGCGGAAAAAAAATTTCTTTACTTCAACGAGTAGGAATAAATAACAATTATCTCATCTGAACGCAAATTAAATACAACATGACCATACTAAATGAAACTACCCGTGGGCTTACATCATTAAAGGTGAAAGAAAGGGTTTAACCCTTTTACAACAATGGCATTTCGCCCACGAATGAAAGGCCCCGTGGCCAACAAGTAAAGAAGATCCATGACCTTGAAATATTTATCTGTGTTCACCTGAAAAAGAATTAGCGACGTGGGATGAACATAAAGTCCAGTAGGGATCTCAACATGATCCTAAACAATAACAACTCACAGATAGCTATGATCATGAAAGCTCAATCTCATACTAGAATAGTAATGTGGCAGTTTATACAAAATATACATATATATGAACTTTTCTCGAAATCAGCCATTTCACTCAACACTGTAAGCGATTCACCTTTCTTTTCTTTTCGTTACCCCTTTTTCCCAAACTTTCATGACAATAACAATTCTAGAAAACAATTTCACCAAGCCCATTACTTTTCTCTCATTTTTCGTACTTACAATAGATTTGTTTTTTCAAAACATGTTCACAAATACCCAATTTCCTTCACACTTTCCAAAATCTCAAAAGTAGTGTTTATGTCTATTCCTAACGCATTCATACCTATACATGCATACCTTTAGTAAAAAAGGAAACAACAAATCATCCACAAGTATGTGATCAACATATGAGACAACTCGGCCTTTCAAAACTATAACCATCATAACCCATAACATATTCATATACACTGAGACAATGATAATAAAAAGCTCTACTCTACCTGCCATTAGCACAGTAAGTTAAGGATACACCTTTCGACAAATGACATGCCAAGTTCTTTAGACACAAGCTGAAACATACTGGTACCTCTACCAAGTTCTCCAGAGACAAGCTGGAAGGTACTGGTACCTCTGCAAAGTTCTCCAGGCGCTAGCTGGAAGGTACTGGTACCCCTCATTTTAAGCACGATATATAACACCAATCATTTCAACGCGACAAAGCACAACCAACAAGTGTAGTACATACACATAAACTATTCAATAATGTTCAACCAACATGAGTGTAATGCATACACAACAATTCAACACAACAATGTCATCGTCCACTGATGACCAAGGACAAAACCTCTAGATGCATGTATTCAACACACTTATTAAAAAGACTCAACTCTCACGAGATCTTAAACCCAACAATGACACTTGTACGATAGTTAAAGGTAAAACCCCAAATGTGTGTATTCAACACGCTTGGTATAATAATTCAACTCTCATATTTATTTTCTAAGACTCACATAGAGTTATCATTTCATTTTCCATTTTCAAGATCAACTCTCATAATTTTCCAGGTCAACATATTCCACTACTTATTCCAACCCACTTTTCCCATTTCACAAAACCAATTCCGTTCTTTTCATTTCACAAAACCAATTCCATGGATAATAAAGCCATAACTCATCTCAGTTCAATACGTTCATTTCAAAAACAACCCCGATGTCATAGTTAATCCTTAGCCATTAACACTTTTACACAACCCATATTAACAATAGTAATTTACAAACATTGTTCAACCATCCTTCCTTTTAATTTACCAAATCAAAATATAATTTAGGGCTTTCTCTTCTTTCAACATAATCATGCTAGATTACTCCCCAATTAGCCCAAACAACACTCAATGATAACAAACTCATTCTCAAACAACCAACCCTAGGTTCCCTTTCATGATTTTCAAATAAATCCAACATGGATATAATTTTCGTGCAATATAAATTTACCATATGTCTATCTATGAACGAGGTATTGAAAAAGAGCAAAGAAATTCCTACCTCAAATGGAGAAACCCAAAGGAGAAGAAGAGAAGAACTTGAAAGTGCTCCAAACCAAAACTTCTTCGGATCAAAACGTAGCCCCTGCGATGCTCAACCTTTCTCACGAAGAGACTAGGGTAGAAAATGTATAAAACAAGATGTATTTGTAGAGAGAGAGAGAGAGAATTTAGAGAGAGAAGCTGCCGATCTAGGGTTTTAAAGAAGAAAGAGGAACAAAAAAATGGAGTAGAAGACCCCCGTTGTGAACTGATATATGCGAGGCTCGCTCGAGCAAAGGAGTGGTCGCTCGAGCGACCAGACACAACAAAAACCTCTCTCAAACGCAAGAAGCGTCGCTTGAGCGAACAATGCGAAGCTTCAGGTCTGCAACCCAGAAGCATACTAGAGCGCAAGAGTGCTCGCTCGAGTGAAGAAACCCAAAACATACAGCTCGCTCACTCGAGTGAAGGAAAGCTCACTCGAGCCAAGAAACACAACCTTCAGGTCAAAAGAGACGCAGACGCACGCTCGAGCGCAATAGTGCTCGCTCCAGCCAAGAGACACAAACTCAAAGCTCGCTCGGGCAACAAAAGCCTCGCTCGAGCGAAGACACCAAAAACTGGGCAGCAACACTTTGTTTCTAATCACAACCAATTTGTTACAAACCTGCCCAACACATCCCAAAACTCAAATATAAGAAATTAAAGGATGGAAACAAGATACAGATAACAGCATACAACTTGGAACTCGAGTCCGGAATAGCACAAAGGACGGGAAAAAACCTGGATCGCTATAATATTAAAATAAATAATTTATATAATGTAAGAGAGATGCTGCTATAATAATTTTTACAATTTATGAGTGAGAATAAAAAATTTAAGATTTTGTGTTACTTGTATATATAATATATATTCAATATGATTTAATAATCTACATTATTTTAGTATCACACAATGGCTAAAAATTTATATTTATATTTAATATTTTTATATATCTACATATGTATAATTCGGGTTTTGAGTTACTTAGGTTCAGGGTCGGCCCTGAGATTTAGGGGGGTCCAAGGCGAACTTCAGAAATGGAGCCCTCTTACATTGAAAAAAAAAATTCATAGATAAAACGATAAGTTACAACTTTTTTATTTTTTTTTAACCACAAAAAAATTTACTTGCACATATAATCATTAAAATTATAAATAAAAATTTACTTTTGTATATTATGATAGGAAACAATCATTACAAATACTTTTTAAAAAAAAAAGTTAAGTCATGTTGCTTTTTTTTGAGCCCCATGTTCTATTGGGCCTATAGTATTTGAGCCTTTTTTTTATATATATCTAAAACACAAAATTATATTTGGGGACCCTTATTTTTAGTCCAAATTTAGGGATCCATGGCGCAGGCCTCTTTTGCCTGCCCTCAGGGCCGGCCCTGCTTGGGTTGTTTGATATGTTTGTCCAAGTCCTCTCAAATTTAATTCAGACTTCTAAATTTTTGTCTAAACTCGTACCGAATTTAAAAATATTTTGTCTAAATCCTACAAAAATTAGGATTAGATTAAACTTACTCAAATTGAGCTCAGTCAAGTTGTATCCCTTGAATTTAGTTTTCCTAGAGCAAGTTTGAATTTTATTTTATTTATTTATTATTATTATTTTGGAATAGAACAATACTCGAAAAGCACTAAATAATTGAAGCGCGATCACATCCATCGTTCTTTCATAAAGGACAACGTGGCCGACCACATTGCAATAAGCTAAAATAGAGAATTGACAGCGGACTAGGAATTAGTTTGTAACCACACACCTAAAATTGATGCAACTAATTCGAGAGAAGAAAAAAAAACAAATAATAAAGGAAGACGCCATTGCCATTGCAGTTGGTGCCACACACAACCTGAGAGAGAGAGAGAGAGAGAGAGAGAGAGAGAGAGAGAGAGAGAGATGATGGAGGTAAAAGAAGCGTTGTTCATGAACAGAGGAGAAGGAGAAAGTAGTTATGCACAAAACTCTTCTTTCACAGTAAGATAATGTTTGTATATTTGTATAGTAGCATTATTTTTTTGAATAGCTATATTTCATAGTTGAATGATTTTTGATATTTTTTGTTCCAAAAAAAACAAAGTTAAATTTTTGTTTAAATGAATGTCTTTTTTGAATTTTGGGCAATGAATGGTTGGATGATTAAAATAGTAGTGCATATTTTTAATGGTTGCTTGTGTATATAGATTTTATAGTGAAATGAATTTTGATGTTTTCTATTAAGAAAATGGGGGTTAAATGAATACTTTTTTGAATTTGAGCAATGAATGATTAAAATAGCAGTTCATATTTTTTAATGATTGCTTGTATATATATAAATTTTATAGTTGAATGATTTTTTATTTTTTCTATTAAAAAAAAGTGAGGGTTAAATTTTGTTCCAATAAATACCTTTTTGAATTTGGGCAATGAATAGATGATTAAAATAGCTGTGTATTTTTTTTAATGGTTGCTTATATATATATATATATTTTATAATTGAAAGATTTTTGATTTTTTCTATTAACAAAAATTAGGTTAAATTTTGTTCAAATGAATCGAAATGAATGTAGAACAACAATAGGGAAATTTGCTTTTTAAAAATTACAACACATGCTAGTGCAAAATTTTACAATAATTATACTAGGGGCATTATGGTCAATATGTTGGATGTTCCATGTCCTATCATGTCCTATCCATACCAAGCCTCTTAAACAAACATCGGATTAGATAATATTTTGTTAATCCCTCCTTATAATCCTAACTCAATGCAAACATAGGATATGGTACACAATCCAAAGGAATTCGTAATCCTAAGACTATTAGTCATGGGAATACTAATCCAGTCTAATCTAATCCATCCAAACAAACATGCCCTTAATTTTAACAACAAGAGAAACTGTAACCGACAATAAAAATAAGTCATTAAGATAGAATGATGTAGCAAGTCATTGATAATAGCATGACACGACAAGTCACTGATATGAATTGATTCATGTCACTCTATAATATTTTTATCTGTGATTTTACGTCTATTTTTAATGAATTTAATAAACAAAAAAATAGATATTACAATGGATCATATGCGACATTGATAGAACTCCCGATTAGAGAATTACGAATTCGTAATCCTAAGACTATTAGTCATGGGAATACTAATCCAGCCTAATCTAATCCGTCCAAACAAACATGCCCTTAATTTTAACAACAATAGAAACTGTAACCGACAATAAAAATAAGTCATTAAGATAGAATGATGTAGCAAGTCATTGACAATAGCATGACACGACAAGACACTGATATGAATTAATTCATGTCACTCTATAATATTTTTATCTGTGATTTTACGTCTATTTTTAATGAATTTAATCCAAAAAAAATAGATATTACAATGGATCATATGCAATATTGATAGAACTCCCAATTAGAGAATTACAAGTAAAATTGAAAAACAGACTAAAAATAGATCGTCTGGAGTGAAATTGAAAAACAACACTCCAAGACCTGTATTATAATTTTACAATTCAATTACTCGGCTAATTTGTCACAATGTGCATATTACAATCACATTTTAATCACATCTTAAAAACATAATTTTAATAAGACATTGCAAGATTGAAATCGTATCTTCAACACGTCACGTTGGCACCCTATGCAATGCTAGTGGATGCTTGGGGTGGTGATATCACAATGAAATCATATCTTTAACTTGCGATTTTATATTGAAATTGCATTTTGAAAATAGGATTTCAAAAAAAATGCACTAATTTGCTAAATAGTTTGAAAAGTGTAGCATTTTTATAAATAATTTTGTTTTTTTCCAATATTTATAAATTAAGAGAAAAAAAAAATGCGAATCTTTAGTTTGATAAGAAACAACTCTATCATTCACGCCATAAAAAGTACTTAAATAATGAAATGTGTGAACCAAATTTATTTTAAAATTAACATACATCATACAAGTTTAAATTTACAATACAATTTAATACTTTTAGGCCATGTTTGATTCACAAGACTAATAGTGAAAGTATTAATAATCTCATCAAATTAGTATGGTATTTACTATCCAATTGGATTAGTAGGATAAATTATCTCATTGTCCATTGTTTGATTTGCATTAGATAAGAAAACATATGAATGTACGATTACAACTATATTTATCTTCTTTTCCAATCTTACCATCCATCAATGTTTCTTTACAATCTCTACTTTATCAAAATTTCTTCATAAACGTGGTTTTGAAAAAAAAAATTATAAATAAATAAATAAAAGCAAAGTAAAAATACAAAATACAAAGGCCATGTTTGGTTTGTTTTTTATTTTTATTTTTTCAAATATGAATTAATTTGATAAAATAAACATCATAAAATATTTTTAAAATTACTTTTAGCCTTCTAAAATATAAAATTATGTAAGAATAATAAGTGTTTTTAATTTTTAATCAAGGGTAAAAGAGTCTTTTTATTTTATTTCCCAACTCAAGATATATAATCCCACCTCTACCCCATTACTAATAATCCTACAAATTTATTGGATTAATTATCCGTTGGATTAATAATCCTGAAATAAAATTTTAAAATAAACACAGGATTATTAGGCTCATAGATTAATAATCTCAATATCATGCTCTAATCCTCTCAATCAAACATGCCGTAAGTGACATGTGCTGAGATTCATATAACTTTTTCCGGAACAAACTCAAAAGTTGTTCTCTCTTGCAGCAAAAAGTGGCCTCCATGACAGTGCCAGTGCTAGAAAATGCAGTTGAAACTCTACTCTCCAAAGATATCCACCTTCTGCAAGCTCTTAACGCAGCGGACTTGGGTTGTGCAGCGGGTCCAGCCACTTTCACAGTGATTTCTACAATCAAAAGAATGATGGAAAAGAAATGCAGGGAATTGAATTCTAATCTTGTCAATCAAACATGTCGTAAGTGATATGTGCTCAGATTCATATAACTTTTTCTGGAACAAACGCAAAAGTTGTTCTCTCTTGCAGCAAAAAGTGGCCTCCATGACAGTGCCAGTGCTAGAAAATGCAGTTGAAACTCTCTTCTTCAAAGATATCCACCTTCTACAAGCTCTTAACGTAGCGGACTTGGGTTGTGCAGCGGGTCCAGCCACTTTCACAGTGATTTCTACAATCAAAAGAATGATGGAAAATAAATGCAGGGAATTGAATTGCCAAACACTGGAACTTCAAGTTTACTTGAATGATCTTCCTACAAACGATTTCAATACCCTCTTCAAAGGCCTGTCATCTAAGGTTGTTGGTAACAAATGTGAGGAAGTTTCTTGTTATGTGATGGGAGTAGCGGGGTCTTTCCATGGCCGTCTTTTTCCTCGTAACAGCTTGCATTTAGTTCATTCCTGTTTCAGTGGTCATTGGCTTACTCAGGTTTGTACATCCATTTGTTTCAACTACTAATTAACCTTGGACTTATCAAATTATCCTATGTTAATTCCTATCACAATATGAGTAGAGGAGTTAGATGTTGGTCACATACTGTGATGGACACATGAATAATTTTCATTGACCATGCCATGCCACTAGAGAAAGATCAATATTTACTCTAACTATATGACGGGTACTATATGTATTTATTTGTATTTGTTGTATGGATACATATAAAAGTTTTTAAAAATTTGTAAAATTATTCAAAATATGTAGACTCAAAAAAATGGGCAATAGAAACCCATGTAAAAAGGTCTTTCTCCATGTCTTTCCCAGTGTTTACCAAAAATTTCATAAAGTCTGGAATTTTCATATGATGGGCTTGGTGCATGTGCAACTTAATTAGGATGTGCCTCTTAAGCAATGAATGATGGTTCGATCCTACTCTCTTTTTGTTAATGTAATATCATTGTACTGCTTGTATAAGTTGTATTACGTATTTCATATGACCCATTTGCTTTTGATGTGTAATAAGCTTGCACGCTAACCGTTTCAATGGTTTCTTTGGTGAAATAAAAGGCACCAAAAGGACTCACAAGCAGAGAAGGCTTGGCATTAAACAAGGGGAAGATTTACATATCAAAGACAAGCCCTCCTGTTGTAAGAGAAGCCTACTTATCTCAATTTTATGAATATTTCACAATGTTTCTCAACGCTAGATCCCAAGAGGTGGTTCCAAATGGTTGTATGGTGTTGATACTTCGTGGTAGGCTATCTTCTAATCCTTTAGACATGGAGAGCTGCTTTACTTGGGAATTATTAGCCATAACCATTGCTGAATTGGTTTCACAGGTAGCTGCAATTTTTAACACTTCCTTACCATTAAATGTCTTCGTTTTATGTTCACAAGCTCTTACATACCTCTAGAACACAATTTTTCTAGGCCTAAAAATCGTAAAACATGCAAACTATAAACCGAAAATTCCCTTAGGTGCTGTGCACAAAGGTCTGATTTCGCTTGTTATATTTTTTTGTGCCAAATCTTTCATTTTTCAAAATTCATTTCAATCATTCGTCATTGCTCTCAAAATTCGTTGCATACATATATAAACTATTCTTTAATTGAGTTAAAATGAAATAGTTATTAGCCAAACCAAGCCTTAAGTCTCATCAAATGGGATCGGCTACATGAAATAGTTATTAGCATTTTACAAAAACGAGTATTCTTCATTGCTCTCTAACAGCATTTCATATATATAAACTACACTTCAATCAGAGTTAAAACGAAATTATTTTGAACATGTTTTCACATTGCCTCATATTTTACTCTCTAAAGGTAAAATATTCATAACTCAAAAACGTACTAAGAGTTTGGTGCTCAAACCAATTAGATTCTTAAAGCTTTCCAACTATTTCGGATCATGAAAAACAGAGTTCAATTTGTCCAAAATTAATAGTTTTTTGTTTAATTTCCCCCCCTCCCAACATTTTAAAATATAAGTTATCTTGATGAGTTCTTTCCTTTAAAATGATAAAATCAATACTTATCCCGTCATTTATATATATATATACATATTTGGCATAGCACTAAAATTATTTGCTTTATTTATTCCAATCTATTAATTTTCTCTCTTTCCTTCGTGATAATAAGGATTGATAGATGCAGATAAATTAGACACCTTCAATGTACCTAGCTATTTTCCATCACTTGAGGAAGTGAAAGACATAGTGGAGAGGGACGGATCATTCACAATTGATCATATGGAGGGGTTTGAATTTGATACCCTATAGATGCAAGAGAATGATAAATGGGTTAGAGGGGAAAAGTTTGCCAAGGTTGCCAGGGCCTTCACAGAGCCTATAATTTCAAACCAGTTTGAACATGAAATCATGGACAAACTATATGACAAGTTCACTCACATTGTAGTTTCAGATTTGGAAGCAAAGATACCGAAGACCACAAGTATCATTCTAGTGCTTTCCAAGATTATTGGATAGTTTTTTAGTGTTGTGAAAGAAACTGTAGTCCCCATCACATTTATGCTACTAGAGGGTTGTGCCAATGTATTGCACAAGAAGATTTAAGAAGGGTCAAATATAGAAAGCTTTTTGCTCTTGTGTGGAGAGAGAATGTTTTCTTGATTTAAATTTGTGATACACAAATCGTAATGCAGGGAAGAAATGAGAAGTTTGAACATGAAATTTTAATTTCTTTACCTTATGTATGTATGGAATTAGTGGTTGTTTGCTAAAAATAACGTCTCCTCCAATTATTATAATATATTAGGATGGTTCTTGCAAAGAATTTTTTGCGTTTTTTAAATCTCAAAATGAAATATTTTGTCAATAGTATCAAAGTGATATATAATAGCATTTCATTAATTAATTCATGACTTCATGTTAAGTGCATTTGTCTATGAGTTCAGGCTGCTTTTCTATGGGGAGGCCAGATTTGAAGAGGAAATTACACTTGGTGAAGTGGAAGGAGGTTCCTAAGAGCAAGATGCAAGGAGGGCTGGGGATTTGAAGAACTAGAGATTTTAATGACTGTCTTTTGATAAAGTGGTGGTGGAGGTTTGCTAATGAAGATGAGGCTTTATGGAAGAAGGTGGTTTGTAGTAAATACAATCTAAATGGGGGAGTATGGTTTCCAACTTTGAACCAAGGTAAGAGGGCATCAAAGTTGTGGAGTGATATTTTAGCTGCTGTAGAGCACAGGCCTATGATGTTCAATTTTTACACAATCAATGTTCAGATTAGAGTGGGTAATGGGAACGGAGTGAGGTTTTGGCAGGATAAATAGTGTGGTGATTGTTGTTTCAAAGAGAAATTTCCCAGGTTGTTTAGGTTATCCACTGATAGAGGAGGTTCTTTAAGGTCTTTTGTTGAAAAGCAAGATAGTACTGGTGGTTGGGAAATTAGCTTCAGAAGGAATTTATTTGTTTGGGAGAAGGAGGAACTCAACAAGCTCAGCGAGGAGTTATGTCTGGCTCCATCACTAAATGGGAATGATGAGGATAAACCAGTTTTGTTAGCAGCACAATCAGGTCAATGTATTGTTTCCACCCTCTATAAGTATATAGATTTGGAGGCTGGTGAGCAGTCTATTGTTAGTAAACTGGTATGGGTGAATTATCTCCCACCCAAAGTGCAATTATTTGGGTGGCTTGCATGGAAACACAAGGTGAAACCATCTGATTTTCTGCAGAGGATTGGAATTTTGGATGGAAGTGTGTCTTATCAGTGTGCGTTTTGCAATAATGAGCTAGAAACAGTTCAGCATGTGCTAATTTATGCCCTTTGGTTTGGAGGGTGTGGACTGATTTGCTACAGTGGTGAGGAATTAAATGGCTGGTTCCTGAATCAGGGGAAAGGTTGGTACAATGGTGGGATGGTAACAGAGTCAAAAAAATCTAAGAGGAGAATTTGGATGGCTTTACCTCTAGTTGCCTTATGGTCTTTATGGAAGTATAGAAATGATTGCTTGTTCAATGGTATACAAACAATGATGGGGGAGCTGAAGGAGGCAATCATCATCAAATTAGCAATTTGGTTGAAGGCTTACTTCAAAGAGTACCAGTATTCTATTTTTGACTTTTTATTTAATTTTTCTCATATTAGAAAATGTTTAGGGGGCTAAAAGCTTACAGATTTTTTGTAAGCTTGGTGTTTTTGTTGTTTCTGTTGTTCTATTGGAATCTTTCCAACTCGCTTCCGAGGGTTTAGGTTGGTGTTGGTGAAGATGGGCTACTAATGCTGTACTTGTTAATGATGCTGGTTCTACTTGGTGAAAAGGAGTATCTACTCTGTGGTGGTTGATCTGTGTGGGCAGTGATCCCTTTCAATTGGCTGTTGTTTCTGATGCTCATTTTCTACTGATATGGGTTGCTGCTGGTTTTGTGTGGGTGATGATCTTTTAATTAGGCTACTGCAGTTGATATTTTGTTGTTGTCCTGTTTTATTATTGTGTCTGCTGTAGCTGTTATTTTATTGTTGTCCTGTTTTGTTGTGTTTGCTAGTTTTGGGTTATTTGGTATGTATTAGTTTTGGTTAGCCTTTACTTGGTTGAGGTTGATTTGGGTGTTTGTGGTTGGTTCCTCACCAACTCTTGATGGTATGTAGCATATGATTTGGCAGTCTTATTGGTGGCAACCTAGTTGGCATTGATTTGGCTCGCTATGATGTTTTTGCACTTGTAATGCCCATAATCATAGGAGAAATATTATATTTTCATTCATCAGGGTCTTCTTTATAAATGATATCACGTGCAACGTTAACTTCTTATAGCAAAATGAGTGCCCTACGGGCTTACATGTTTCCAAGCAATATCTTGGTTACAACAAAAAAGGGTCCTAGCTCTATACATATAAAAGCCCTTGGCTTGAATATACATTTAACAGCAACGCAAAAAAAAAACAAAAATAAAAAAAAAGGTCTTCAACTCCTAAACCTCCCAAGCTAAGACCTTGGAGGCGGCATGTCCCCTGTACCTGAAAATGGTGTATGAAGTAGGGTGAGCCAAAGCCTAGTAGAGATATGTTAAACAGTATATGAGAATTAACTAAAACATTAGCATCCGATAAATGTTTAACACTTGTGAACCAACTTACACCCATTCCATAACCAATCAACATTGACATCCATATTTCTATTCGCTTGCATTTACTTATCCAAATCAATTCATTGACATAGTTCATCATCATCTAAACAATTCAAAATGAGACTACAACTCATTTATTAACACTTCAATCATAAACATTATTCGTACACTTCCATTTCTTGCCATTTTACGGAACTACATCCGAGGGACCGGCACCCAAATATATACAAGATTTCGGGACTTTCACCCTAGACACTTCAGCCAACTTAATTATCAATGGAGTTCATCCCCTATCTCCTCCAAAACAAAGATATATATACAATGTATTGAAACACGTTGTCACATACAATGACCAGTTAAATCACATATTCAATGTTTTAATCCAACCATCATATTCAACGACATAATTCGATTGATTAGTTTCAATTCACCTAATCATCATGCAGTTTCTACAACAATCATGGCTATCCTCCACCGATAGTCCAAAACAGTTATTTCTAAACAGATACATAAATCTATCAAACAGATAATTTATCAACTTTTCCATAGGTGAGTGACTCATCAATCCAACTACAACATTTAATCACAATTTTCCCCAATTTCACAATTCCCGAACCAATTTCATATTACCACATTGATTTCATTATTTATACAAATAATTTATTTAATTCAACTTAGGGCATTTCCCCCTTTCTCTAATATTGCACCCAAGGCCAAATTTCATCCTTTTACACAAATATTCCCATATTCAAGACCTCACATACACATATGGAGCCCAAAGTAGAAAACCCCTCTAACACAATTTCAAACTCAAACCCTAACTTCACCCAAACTTCCCAAATCCCACCATTTATACAAAATGACTAATAGTTAGGTCAAAACTCATATTAAAGAGTAAATTATCCCTATCTCAAATGGAGAAGCTCAAAGGAGAAGAAGGAAGAAATCCAAAGATGCTCCAAACTTGAACTTTTTCGAATCCAAAGAAAGCCCACGCATTGCTCTAGCTTTTTAACAAAGGGAGTAGGGTAGGAAACCTCTAGAACATGGAGTATTTGTAGAGAGAGAGTGTTTTTTAGAGAGAGAGACAGCCGATGTAGGGTTTGTGTAGAAGAAGAAGATTAAAAAATGGTGTATTTCATCTCCGCTGCGAACTGATATATGCAAGGCTCGCATGAGCGAATGAATTGTCGCTCTAGTGACCAGACACAACAAAAGGCCTTGCTCGAGCGCATGAAGCGTCACTCGAGCGCACAATGCAAAGCTTTGGGTCTGCCACCAACGCAGACGCACGCTCGAGCGCAAGAGTTCTCGCTCGAGCGCAAGAAGTGTCGCTCGAGTGAAGAATACCAACCTTGAAGCCTTCACAGTGACTCAGATGCACGCTCGAATGCAAGAATGCTCACTCGAGTGAAGAGACAAACACCCAAGGATCGCTCGAGCGCAAAAAGCCTCGCTCGAGCAAAGAGACCCAAAACCTAGACAGCAACCATTTGTAACAACTCATAACCAACCTATTCCAAACTCACCCAACAAGTCCCAAAACTCAAATTCAAAGAATTTAAGGGAAGAAACAAGACAAAGACAACAACATACAACCACAAAACCTGAGTCTGGAACACAACAAAGGTCGGGATAAAACCTAGATCGCTATAGCACTTATCCTCTTTTTTCCTTTATTGTTGAAATAGTTTTGTAGCACTTGTGTTCTTTAAAGCTTTTGGTAAGTGTATTTGAATCCTTTATTCTATTTTAGGAATCTTTGGTGTTATTTTGGGTTGGTTTTGGAGGTGTACAGTCTAATTTAAACTTGTTGGGTTTGGTTGTTCGTACTATTCTTGTCAAAAGTTCCTTGGAGACTTAGAAATTTCCTTCTAGGGTCGACACCAACCTTCCTAGGGTCAACCCTTACTTGTTCGTGAAGTTTTGGAAGTGTTGTTGGAAAATAGGGTAAACACCAGACTAGGAGAGGGTCGACCATCTTATGTCTGTGTGTTGGCTGCTGGAAAATAGGGTAGACACCACACTGGGAGAGGGTTGACCCTCTTATGTTTGTGTGTTGGTTGCTGGAAGATAGGGTCGACCCTCTCCTGTCTTAGGGTCGACATCTGCAACGTTTTTTGTCCAGACTTTGCTGTCGGTTTGGGGCCTACTTTTAAGGGATTTTGACTAGATATTTTGGGTTGACTATGGGCCTTTGTTCTATTTTTGACCTAGTACTATAATAGGCCCTCACTTAACCCTTTCCTTTACTTTTTCTTATCTTTCCTCCCTCTTAACCGTGAAACACACATACACTCTCTCTCTCTCTCTCTCTCTCTCTCTCTCTCACAAAAAGCACTTTTCACTTATAGATCCTTAGATTTACTTGCTTGAAGGCCTCTCATCACCTTGCTGCCTTTGAGATAAAGTGTAGAGCTTGTCGAGCGCTTCATTTTGATCGGAGCAAAGCTTGGCTTCTCCTTCGTCGACTTTTGTGTTTTTTTTCTTCCTTCTTCCTCTTCTAAGCTTGAGGTAGGGATATTCTACTCTCTTATATGGGTTTTAACATAGATATTGTCATCTTGTATAAATGGTGTGATTTGGGAAGGTTTTTGGTGAATTTTTGGTTGGTTTCTATATATATAAAAGAGGGGTTTTCTATTTGGGTTCCTTACGGGCATGAGAGGTCTTGAACATGTTATGACTTGAGAAGAATTGATGAAATTTGGTCTTAGGTATAATATTTGATAAAATGGGAGATTTGCCCTAATTTGAATTAAACGATTTATTTTGTATAAATAACGAGATTGACCTGGAAGTTATGGAATTGAAGGAACATGCGATTAAATGGTATAGTTGGATTATTAAATCACTCACCTATGGGAAAAGTTGATAATTTATCTGTTGATAGATTTATTTATCTATTTAGAAATATCTGCTTTGGGCTATCGGTGGAAGATAGCCATGATTGTTGTAGAAATTGCATGATGATTAGGTGAATTGAAACTAATCAATTGGATTATGTCATTAAATATGACGATTGGATTAAAACATTGAATACGTGATTTAATTGGTCATTGTATATGACAACGTGTTTAAATACATTGTATATGTATCTTTGTTTGGGAGGAGATAGGGGATGTACTCCATTGTTTGGGAGGAGATAGGGGATGGACTCCATCGATAATTAAGTTGGCCAGAGTGTCCAGGGTCAAAGTCCCAAAATCTTATATATATTTGGGTGCCGGTTCCCTCAGACGTAGTTCCGTAAAATGGCAAAGGAATGGAAGTGTGTGACTAAATGTTTATGATTGAAGTATTAATAAATGAGTTGTAGTCTCATTTGGAATTGTTTAGATGGTGATGAACTATGTTCATGAATTGGTTTGGGTAAATATGTGTAAGTGAATGGAAGTGTGATGTCAATGTTAATTGATTATGGAAAAGGTGTAAGTTGGTTTTTAAGTGTTAAACATTTATCGGATGCTTATTTTTTAGTTAATTCTCATATACTGTTTACCATATCTCTACTGGGCTTTGGCTCACCCTACTTGGGACACCATTTTTAAGGTAAGTTTGATTTGCTTCTAGGTGAATCTGTCGACTCTTCGGCCTTGTTTTCTGCAATGGCATAACCTACACTTGTGAATCGAGTGTTAGAGGCGCAGAGGGGTGAATTAGAGGTAGAATCCTTCTGGGAAAAGATATCCACTGGGAAGGTAGAGAAGGGTTTGACTGTGTATCCTAACCTAAGTGTGAGGTACCGAGACCGCTTGTTTGTGCCGGAGTCTTGTCGAGAGGAAGTACTCTGAGAGTTTCACCATTCACGTCTTGCGGTGCCTTCGGGAGGCACAAAGATGTATCATGATTTGAGTTGCCAGTTTTGGTGGATAGGTATGAAGAAGGATGTGGCAGTGTTTGTATCGAAATGCCTTGCTTGTCAACAAGTGAAGGCTGAGCATCAGAGTCCAGCGGGTTTATTACAACCCTTGCCTATAGCCGAATGGAAATGGGAGCATGTCACGATGGATTTTGTCGTGGGTTTTCCGAGGACTCAACGGGGTAGTGATTCCATTTGAGTGGTAGTGGACCGGTTGACTAAGTCAGCATACTTTATTCCTATGCTGTGAGAGATTCGGTAGATTACCTTGCTGACTTGTATATTCGGGACATAGCGAGGTTGCACAGGGTCCCAGTGTCGATTGTCTCAGATAGAGACCCATAGTTCACTGCCCGATTGTGACAGAGTTTGTAGAGTGCCTTGGGCACTAGATTGACTTTTAGCACGGCTTACCATCCTCAGACTGACAGGCAGTCCAAGCGCACTATTCAGATACTTGAGGATATGCTTCGAGGCTGTGTCCTTGACTTTAAGGGATTGTGGGAGAGACACCTACCCTTACTGGAGTTTGCCTACAATAATAGTTTCCAATCGAGTATTGGTATGACACCGTTTAAGGCCTTGTATGGCCGACCGTGTAGATCTCCAGTGTGTTGGGAAGAGGTGGGTGATGCACCTCTGTTGGGTCCAGAGTTGGTTCGGGCAACGACGGAGAAAGTGGCACTTACTTGTAAAAGGTTGGCTACAACCCAGATCGCCAAAAGAGTTATGTTGACCGTAGGAGGAAACCTTTGTCTTTTAAGGTGGTCG